TTAAACAAATAATGATTAAAAGTACAAACTATATAGAACATTACAAGCCGAAAACATATCTAAAACACTGCATATTTCTCCACGTATATTACATCTAGTCTATATCGAGCAGTATTATTTACTTAACGAAGGAGGTAGAACACCATAATGAAATATACGTACGAATAGCTACACTGTCAAAATGTTTCAGAGAGAGAAGTGTCTGCTTTCATCTTTAGAGCCCACTTTAATAGCGAGTGGGACCAATTTTTAGTTAACACAGTATGAACATTACGTATATTGCTTGCTTTTAACTGTTGTAATAGACAACCAATGTTTTGGTAAAACAGCTCTGAGCACTCTGAAATTTTAGAGTCTACCTCTACTGATCCTCAAATGTTGTTCTAAAATGTTACGGAGTGGTTCAGTTCTTTAAAAGTCAAATCTCTTGGTTGATTAAGGCAGATTAGATTCTTGACGCTATTTGATTGAAACCATTACTGGACACAACCTTCGATGCACCATGGTGCATTAATATACTAAAAGAGTGATCCTTTTTTAGAGAACTTAATTCAGTTCAGTCACTTCCAGACCAAATGAATCACAATACGTCAAGGCACTCAAGATTCCCTTATTTAGTATCAGATATACCCCCCATTGTTGTAGCAACTGAATCAAATCCAGAGCATCCGCTAGCTTTCCTCAAATGTAAAACAGCAACAGTGAATGATGAAAATCATCATTCTACATAAAGACTTTTCATACTTTTTTCCCTAATTTTCATGCTCAATCCATAGGAGAGAACACATCCTAGATTCACAGTTGTTTTGATCAGTTTGTAACCTGCATACAGCCTGTCTGAGAATCGAGTAACATTAGGCTCCCTACAGACAGTGGATTGGCTGTTCTGTAGACTTTCATTAAACTTCTAACGGCTGAGGAATGATTAAATATTGGCGGCAAGCCAGACATTCTAGTGGGCTTTCATTTCTTCAGCACATTACCCACAGCGAATTTGTGCCTAAGTAAGCGGGTTAAAATAAACAGTTTCATATTAGTATGCTGTATGCAGTAAGCGATAAGAAGTCTGTATGAATACTTACTTGTGTCATCTTAACATCACCTGACTGGTTGTGGCAGCTGCTCACCTATACAATCCTTACGTAGCAATTCATATGCAAATTCAATGACAATAAATCCATTTTGCTAAAAGGATGTGTGTTGTCGCATTCCGTTTGTTAGTGCAGTATATATATATATATATAATGCTGTCTATTTCGAGAAAAAAAAGTTGCAAAATCACAATGAACATTGATTATATTACAGATTTATTTTATTTTCTCCACGGGTAAAAAAAAATATATAATCTATGACGTATAGGTCTTAAATATTACAATGAACATTGATTTGTTTGCTCAACATACAAACCTTGAAAGTATTCGCATTAATACTCTAAGTACAAAAGTTAAGTACGAATTTAGACAATATCTCATTTTACAGTTGGTGTTAAGATAGTTCAAAATAATTAGTCTTTTAATCCTACGTTAAACGTTTTAAAACAACTATACCTCAAACTAACCGTGTTTTACTTGCATGCTAAGCAAGTTTAACGTCATACCTATTATATTGTCATTCTCTATACATGAACAGGCGATAAAGTTTAGTAGTGATAACGTAAATACACTCAATTTAAACAATATCGAACCAAGCAAGCCTTGAAAACAAAAAGTCACTGAAATTTACTATCTCCCATATGCAAATATTGACACTTAAGTGAAATGAAGAAGGAAAGGAGAGACACCCAGTTCCAGTGACCACATAATTCAGTTCCCGTGGCATAGCTATCATCTTGCCTGTATATACATAGAAGGAAGCATTTATATAGCTTCTTAAAAGATGTTTATTCATGAAAATGTTGAGATAAGGCTTAATTGTTTTCGTATTAAAACAAAGAGTATGTTACAGTTCTCTTTAAAATGAAACTCTATATAACATCTCTAGGGACAGTAGTTGACGTAACTTTATTTTTGTTCACACTTTTTATTTACTCGTTTGAAAAGTTTACTTATAATCTCCAAGTTCCGTTCAAAATTCAGAACAATGCTTTTACCTTTATAAAAGTGTCTTGATTGTCAGATATTGGCGTGCAGATGAATATACTATTGTTGAGTGTTCATGTTGGCAGATTCTATTGTTAACATGCATTAGTATATTGTATTCTTAAATAAATTATTAGGTTTTCTAATTTGTACAAAATGCCTATTAAATTTCTAACCTATAGTGAATAAGTCAGTTTCAATATTCATTTAGTATTTTAATCAAGTGATTTTACTTATTAATTATTATTTCATCTATATTACATCAAACATATGGCAATTGCCAGTGACATTATGAAACAAAAATATTAAACTTCGGTCAATTTTAACAGCTTAACCATTATATCAAAAATAAAACAAACTTACCTCAGGCACTCTATTCACTGATAATATTTTATGTTAAGTACAAGGTTGCTAAAATAATAATAACAATATCAATGATTTTCACTAAACAGATATTCACTTATATAATACATCAGTAGTCATCAGTTACAAATGATCACTAGAACAACAATGTAAAAAAGTTCCAAGTTTTTGAACCCAGGATATATATTGTCAGTTAAGCTGATAACTTCTATTATAATTTCGATTTGTTAAAAGGCTAGGATATGGTAGAGTGGTTAGCGTGTCAGTCATAATATCGGAAGGTCCATATACCATTGGAGGTTCTGTACATTTATCCTTGGAGGCGTTATAATCGTGACAGTAAATCCCACCAGTCGGTTTAAAGTTGACGTATAAAAGTTATGGTTGTCTACCTTCTACTCAGAAGTTCTTAAGGATGGCTACGCCTGAACCTTACACATTTGTTACCTGGTCGTTTAGCCCATGTATCGTGTAATGTACCAAATACCAAATCAATTTGTAATTAGAAAAAAATTCAACATTCGTGGGTGAATGTAATATGTCTCCGCTACGCAGTCCCAACATGGCCAATTTTGTCGTACGAAAAATGAAAAACTGTCTCTATCACTACTTTGGATCTCCAAGAAGATACCTTTTTATTAAATCCTATGTAAATTGGTCAAAATATGGCCGAGTAATTGACCAAAAACCTCAAATTAGTAGTCCAACTTTTTCATGCCAATGTATTGGGCGCATGAAAATTTATATCTGTGCCAATTTTCATTTTGATTGCTGTAAATACGACCGCACAGGAGCCCGAAAGATACATTTTTCGGTTGTTTGACTTTTGAGTCCATACAATCCTTAAAAGTTCTAAATCAAACAAATGAAAAAGGTATCTGGACGTATTGGACAATGGTATAACTCTACCAAGTTTGAAGTCAATCCAATGAGAAATGGAGGAATGGCGTTAGACTGAAAAGTGTTTGGAAGAAGAAGAAAAAAACAATAGAAAAACAGTGCGTCTCTGCGGAGACATAAAGATACTTCTTTGTCCAATTTATGACATTTACGACTATGTTGGACAGATTGTAAGCTTCTCACTGTTAGTTACTTTGATGTACGAGAGCGTATCATAAACTGTGATTTCCTTTCTTTAAATTGAGTATGTCTCAAGAAATATTTCTCATTGTTATTGAAAAAATATTTGATTTCTTACTTTAGAACAAAATTGAAAAATTAAGTGATAAGTATGTCTTCTTCCCATATTTAAAAATATCAGTTGAATATTGACTTCACTGTGTTTTGAGGGTTTTATTATAATATACTAACCTGCACAATGTATATCTATAATCCCATTCTACATAGGAGACCTTTATATATAAATATTTATGTCTGCATAAATCTGGGATTTACAGAGCAAAGTTCAATAAACTTCAATAAACTGACATACCAAATCCAGGACCTTTATCTCAGCTAATCATCATCGCTAGATTCCAGACAGAAGATCCGAAGTCTCTTATAATTCATATATATTTTATTACCTTTGTCTGATTCTACAAAGACGAACAAAGATATCTATAACACATTTTAGTCTATAGTCTTACATTGATTCGAGAAGAAGACCGAAGTATCTTAATATGTTTTAATTGATCATCTTTTAATTCTTTACCATCTTCACTTGATTCGAGACAGAAGAGAAGACGAGCGATTTTGCTCTGTTTATTCAGATATTTATTTCAGTCTGTAGAAACGTATGAAGGCAGACATTGTTTATCAAATAAAGTTCATAATCATTAGTGAGTGTTCAAGACAAATGTAAAGTTTCATTAACTACAATTTCCTTCCAACATGTTAAACAGAAATTTGTATTCATAGGAGAATCAAACATTCTAAAAGTGAAAGAAAAAAAAAGATACTTTTACTTTATCATCAATACAAAATTCATAAACTTTAAAATATTGGTTTTAAAACAAGTATGGATTGTTATAGTTAATTAAAGTATTCATCTAGTTTCTGTATTTAGTATTTGAAAATTTTAATTTAAAATTGAACTTAAGAATAAGTGTAGCCTGCTTCCCACGTTTCACAGCTTTGATATCACCAATTATATACTGTAGCCTGATTCATAAATTTTACAGCTTTGACATGACTAATTTTATAATGTATGGTACTTCATACCTTTTACATAGTATAGAGGGCATCTGAAATAATACGAACTATGACTTTTCATCAAGTGAATCGAGAAATACCTGTTGTTTTTCTGTATGTGCTTTTTTTATAAAGTTATAAATAATATGACGAATCGTGATAAAAGAATCATTACAAAAAAAAGTATCGCATTTTTATGTGAAATTTGCAAAAAAGGAGTAGTAGAAAAACCAAGAGTAGATAGTTTCAAGGTTTTTCTTCTGTACAAGCTGTAGCAGTATTTTTCTTCTACTACATCCAACACTTAGGTGTCGCTGTACAAAAATTACGAAACGACACGTGTTTATTTAAATCTAAGATTAAAATATTATGCTTATTTTACTTTATTCTTTCGGTAAGTGTATAACATTTTTTTTTCATTACTCACAGGTAACTTTGATTCCAGCGTTTTTTTCGCCTATCATCATTAATGGATCTCTCCCCACGGTTTCCTGAATGTCAAGTTAAGTGTAAAGAATTCACTACAGGAGCTCCAAGACAGTCTATAATAAAAATGCACACTCTGACATCTAATGGTTCCCTCGACGAAACAACCAGAATCAGCAGTACCTGTACAGTTTAATAAATCTTTATCTAACCTTAAGTTTCACAAACTTTAGGAATTGCGTTGAAACATTTTTTTCATAGTGTTTAACTTAAAAAAAAAAAAACAATGATAGAAGTTTCATCCAAGCGGTTCCCGAAAAAACGCTGGAGGCCGCTTTTTCAACTTTTTGCTGTTGGTATAACTTTGGTTTTGTATCTTTCTTATTTTTATTCTACATCGACCAGTACCAAAAAGACAAGTCATAGCAATGAATGGAATAAGTTTTTGAATTTTGAGACAAAAGGATACAAGTTGGTGCCTTCACGACATCTGCTTCAAACAAGGAATCATAATAGTAGTGAACCAACCAAACAACCGCCTCAGTTTCCAGAAGACCTGTTCACTGAGCAACAGCGTAAGCACGGGGCAGTGATTTTTCACGTCCTCGGACTTGTTTACATGTTCGTTGGTTTGTCCATTGTGTGTGACGAGTTCTTCGTTCCTACTCTGGACGTGATCACAGAAAAACTCCAGATATCTGAGGATGTGGCAGGTGCTACCTTCATGGCAGCTGGAGGGAGTGCACCTGAGCTATTCACTAGCATCATCGGTGTTTTCATCTCGTTTGATGATGTCGGAATTGGTACCATCGTGGGGTCGGCTGTCTTCAACATCCTCTTTGTAATTTCCATGTGTGCCATTTTCAGCAAGGACGTACTGCAACTGACGTGGTGGCCTCTCTTCCGAGACGTTAGTTTTTATTCCATTATATTAATAATCCTTATGGCATTTTTCAATGACAATATAATTCACTGGTACGAAGCCACGGTTCTTTTTTTATGTTACATTGCTTACGTGTCCTTCATGAAGTTCAACTCACAAGTCGAGCATTTCGTGAAGAGGATTTTAAATAGAAATAAAGTAAAGAAAGTGCGCAGCACAGATCATTTGATGGCAGGTGTAAGTACATTTTTAGAAAATTTCATTTAATCTAGTTTTAATGGTATTATATTACGTTTAATACAATATTTGATATATATACATATATGTATGTGTGTGTGATGTTAGCATTATCCTTGAAACAGTTTTTGTCTCGAATAAAAAATAACAATATTCACGCTTACTTTTCTTAACGCCTGGATATGAAAATTGTGTAATTTGACTCAATATTATGTGATGGTTGTGGTAGTGAAAGATCTAAAGCTTATACAAATATAGATATAGAAATACTATAATTATTCTTATAGACGTACATGACCAATAACAGGAACCCTTTACGATTCCACGAGGTTTAACTGGAAGAAGTTACCAAACGATAGATTAAGTAGATAGAAAGACATTGAAAATCTAGCTTCAGGGCAACAGAATGGTTTAGGAAAATTTTAATCCTATTATGTTGCAAAACTAAAACTTTGTAGTCTTGACAGTGTATGTGAAACTAGTTAATGCTTTTATCATTCCATGTGAAGGATGTAAAAGGGGCAACTGACCGAAAACATGAGACTGAAAAATCGATGTAGATTATAATTAACGTTAGGCATGACAAATTAGTTTTAGCGTTAGTCTCACAGAGTTAGCCAATTAGTATTATCCAAGATGAAATTATTTTAATATTAATGCTATCTTTTTTTTAAATAATTCTAAAAATGTGGAAACGAGTACATTTGGTCAGACAAAATATTCAAATAAAGCTGTAACTTTGAAGCAGAGTTTTGACCCTATTCCTTACACCAAGCTTTAAAACAGTACTTATATAACACAAAAGTTTCGACCCTATTCCTTACACTAAGCTTTAAAACAGTATTTATATAACACAAAAATTAGGCTACAAATCGGAAAGTTTTTTTCATGATTAATTAGTTTACTTTTAGGGAAAAAAGGGATTCCATTTATTTTACGCAAAATTATTTTATCATTGCTATACTATGCTGACAAAGCAATGGAATGTCATATATTACTGTTAAAACAAAATGTGTTTAAACTGGTGATACTGCTTTTACTCATAATAAACAGCAAACTTGTATCCATATACATTTATATTCTGATTTTCGCTTGCATAATACAGGTTATTATTATCATAATTTGTGCTCAATCGTAAGAACTTGAACATGTTTTTGAAAGTTAGCTATCAAGAACTTGCTTCTAATCCTGAAGATCAGTAGTTCTTCTGAGATTTTCTGTTTTTGTTTTGCTCTGTTATTCAGCAACACCGTGACGCTAAAGTACTAAGGCAAAATGAGATAAAATGAAAAATTCACGAGGAGTTTGAATTGCTCTCCCCTTGTGTCTATTTTAGCGGATACGCCTTCAAGAAGGAGAAAGCAGGGAGCTAAAATTGCATTAAGTCTTCATTAGGAGACTGTAAATTGGACCCAGCGGTAGTAACATGTCTGAAGTAACAAGAAGAAATTATAAAATCATCATATAGTTAATCGTCAAAAAATATTAGGAAAATGGAGCATAAAATGAAATGACACAATTAAAGTGTAAGAATCGCTTGTAGTAAGGAATTATTTATTAGGCTTCAAGTAGCTTACTTTTTTATTACAATAACTTGTTACACATTCTTTTACTGCGTAACGTTCAAGTAACTTTTATTTCGACAGAACTTGTGTTTTAAGATTTTTTCATTAGTTTTATAAAAAAATATTATTGTTGTGTTTTACCACTGGCTCACCTAGGGGGCCTGTAGAAAAATGAGTATTCTTCTGGTATATGACAGCCACTTTTGTATTTTTCATAGCGTTGAGATTTTTGTTTTGTAATCAGATTAAGTACATGGATTTTGTTCACCTGCTCTGGTTAAGTTGAAAATATGAAGCATATTTGCTCATATTGAATAACAAGTTCTGAATTCTGATTAGCGGCCTATTGAAGATTCGAGCTATATGAACTGTCATTAGCGTAGTAATTATCCAAATAAACTTGAAATGTGTGTGAGAGATGGTGTGGTAGGGATTTCGTGTAAGCACACTAGTACTCCTACCTTTGTTCTCCGACATAGCCAAGGATATGTTGAGGATATCTAACTTTGCAACTAAAGAAATCAATCGGGTTTGTTCACCTTTCTCTATAAAAAACAACAACAACAACAACAACAAAAGTCTGGTGTCTGAATGATTGCAACACAAATTCAAATTAAAAATAAAATCACAGAACACAAAAGTGTTGACATATGCACAATATTTCTTTCTAATTTTATATAATCTACATAAAAGTAATAACATGTGAATTAACATCACATCAATTAACATCACATAATTTTTAGTATTCAACTAAAAATTATTTTGAATTGAAAACCGCAAGTCGTTCGTGTTGTTAGAAAACGCAAAACTTGTGTGTTTATATCACACAAGCAATTGTGTTATAGTTCGTACAAGACTGTGTTGTTGCGAAATAAATTTGTTTCAGTTTCCAACTCAATTTTTGTTAACAATAAATCCTATCACAATAGTTCTGTTTCGTGCGGAGTTCTTTATATTTTATAATTTAAGATCTAAAAAACGATTAAAGTATCTATTGATACCTAATTTATTGAAGTTGAGTCAAGCGCTCTACATTTGCTATTGAAGTAAAGCAGAAAATTAAAAAATAATGATTTAGTACATTAGCAGTTTTCGCAGAATACCTAAATAGATATCATTCAAATAGAAATGAAAAAAATCGACTAGTTATTCTCCCGATAACGAATGTTTTTGAAAATGTGAGATAATTTTCTTGCTATCATAATCACAGATAAAACTACGTTCATTTTTAAACTAATATCTGTTGAACGTAAGCATACGTCAATAACGTTATCGAGGTGCAGTTGTTAGGAACGTGTTTATAATCACAAGTTTCAAACTTGGAGTCTACTTCTGTCACGGTTCGGTGAAAGATTGCGTGATGTGCATAGTTATATGCATGTATTAACGGAACTTGCTGTGTATGATCTTGTTAATATGCGTGATCTAGTTAGTTGGACAAATTATGCGTTTATGGTTACGACTGAAGTATAAATATTAATTTTTAAATAACTAACTTTATAAGCTATGCGGTAAAGGTACCAAAGTTACGTAGAATTACACTAGCTGAAATTAAACAATAATGTGTAGGCGATACTATAAGATATTTTCTATATATGGTATTAATACAGAGAGTTAATTACACTTTACGAGAATTATTTGCTTATGTTAGTGTGATACCGTATCGCTACAGTTATAAACTGTGGGTTCATGTGCAATATGCTTAACAACTTTATATTTGATTGAGACCGAGAGTGACCGAGTGATTATCGAGTGTGATCCGGGGATATTGTGGTCGTGTTCTGACGTCTCAGAAACGTGCTCCACACTTGTGGGTCTTGGGTTGTGCTGGTAGAGTCCAATACAAAGCAAGTCCAATATTCGGTCAGATAAGAGTTCGCGGTAGGTTTTGTTGCTGTTTTCCTTCTATTCCAAGAGTTATCGAACCGTTTTCTTGTCCGTAACTATCTCCTCCTCTCCCCTCCATTCCAGTGGCATAGCGGCATTTCTACAGACGTATACTACTAGAAACCGGATTTCGATACCCGTGGTGGCCAGACCACAGATAGCCCTTTGTTTTGTAGCTTTGTGCTTAATAACAAACAACAACCGAAACTCCCTTTTGTAAAGGTAAATATTTAAAAACTCACATTAATGTAACTTAAACACATCAAAAACAATAACTGTCATATAAGAAAAAAAAAAAAAAGACTGACACGATAATACACAATAATATACTGCTCGTTTTTGAAACATTCATTTACAAAACAAAGATAATAATAAGAGAAAAAGAAAGTGGATACCGTGCCCAGACAGTGAAGCCGAGGATTCGTATTTTTCGTCCCGTTACCACACGCACACACACAAAACGAGCTTTCTGGTATGTAGCTATGGGTACTTTATAGGAATGATGGTCAAATCCCGCCATTTTGTCAGATAACAGTAGCCCAAGAGATCATGGTTGGTGTTTTTGACGAGCTACCTTCCACCAAGTCTGTTAGCTCAAAATTTGCACAGAGAACTTTTGTGTATCTATGCACGAAAATCTGAAACGAACTCACAAGAAAAAAATGGAAATTTCCTCATTGTAGCAAAAACCAGATATCAAAGAGGTTAATAAGATGAAGCAAATATCTTTGATTAGATATTATAAGAAATTTGTCGTATTTATCAACTCCTTCTCGAACCGTTTGAAGCCTCTTGCGACTCACAGTTTCAGAAAACTTGCTCTAGTTTATCAGTTCAAATTTAGGAACGGTTATATGCAGATATCTCTCGTTTATTTTTGATCAATTTTTTAGTTCAAACAATTTGTTATTGCCAAAAGTACGTAGGGTGCCTGTTCACTGTCCAAAGGATGCAGCCTCAGTGTGTGTGTGTGGTGGGGGGGGGGGGTCCAGGTGTCTTAGGGTTATATAATTATAATGTAATATGTCAGTTATACCGAGACCCGAGAGTTATATAATTGTTAGATAATACATACAAGTGAGGGTTATACAACTGTTATGTAATAGGCACCAGAGGGTACTGCTGTCCTATGGGAGGAGAGGGTCTGTTACTATAAGCGAATGATGCTACTAAGGGCAATGTTACCTTAGTTTGTAGGATGATCGATTTTACTATATTTGCATAGCATAATTTTTGCAAATACCTGTCCTGAAAAGGTCGGATTTTTCGTGATAACATCCCTAAGTAATACGCAATAATTTAACACACAATCTGATTGTTTCACTAGTTTAGCTTTATGCATTAACTAAATTCTTATGCTATACGTCTACCCATATAACTATTGTTCTTATTTACTGTATTGTGTATAACAGTAGATGAGTCCTTAACAAAACATTTCATTTTACACATGTTGAGAGTTACTTTAAATATTACATATATCTTACAAATGCTGGTGTTTTTCTCCAGGTGGACAGTGTATAAAACAGGCGGATGGTGTTATTATAGGTG